GGATGGGGATGGGGATGGGGTGGGGACACACCTGCGCTGGAATGGGATGGGATGGGATCCATGGGGTGAGATGGGATCCATGGGGTGGGATGGGATCCATGGGGTGGGATGGGATCCATGGGGTGGGATGGGATCCATGGGATCCATGGGGTGGGATGGGATCCATGGGATCCATGGGATGCAGACTCACTGGGGGTGCTCCAGGCTTTTGCAGCAGTGTCCACTTGCAGAGTGACCACTGCCCATCAGGATCCTGCCTGCCCACCCACCCCTCCTGGAAAAGCAGGGGGTCCGGCTGCCCCCGGAGCAGGGTGGGGGGCTCTACTCACACATCAGCACAGGGGGTGGCCGATGGCGGGGTGGCACCGTGTCCCCAGGGCCTGGGCACAAACCTGCTGGGCATGAAAAGGGCAGGCGGAGGGAAAGGAGGAGGAGGAAGGAGCAGCAGGAAGAGGGAGGAGGTGGAGATGGGGACAGGGATGGTGGGTGTGGAGCAGAGCTGGAGAAGCGAGGTGGGAGCTGCCTCCCTCTGGTGCTGCCCAGCTCCACCGGGACATTCCTGACATTCCGCTGCCACAGGCAGGACCCCAGACCCAGGGGGGCTCCGCTGGCTCCTCCCAGGACTCAGGAAGAGCTGCAGGACCAGGAGCTGCCCCAGAGACACAGCCCCGAGCCCCCCGAGGGGTCCTGGTGCCCCCTGCAGCCCCCCAGGCCGTACCTTTGTGCCTGATCAGGTAATGTCCCAGCACGATGAGGAGGCTGAGCAGCAGGAAGACGATGACAGCCACCACCCCGCCGATCATCGCGTGGTAGGTGCTGGAGGTCGAGGGCACCGGGCTGGCGTCTGCCCAAGGCCGGGGGAGAGAAAAGAGAGCAGGAGCTGAGACCCTGCAGGGGAGCAGAGGCTGCTGCTCCCCCCAGGGGCTCCATCCTGTGCCAGCAGCTCCATCCTGCCGTGGATCCTGGCAGCGAGAACGGGGAAGGCAGCGGGGGAAGCAAAGGGAAAATGCCATCCTCCACAGTGGGGTTTTGGCCCCAAAAAGGGGGGATGAGCAGGCGTGGGTGGGAGGTGACATGCAGGCTGGCTGCACCCCCCCGAGGGGTGATGGCACCCCAAGGACAGCAGGACCCCAAAGCTGGTCCCAAGTCAGCCACGTCCTGTCCTGGATCCGTGCTGGAATCTTTGGGCACAGCGATAAATCCTCCTCCCGCTGTGCTCGGGGTGAGGACAGAGCCACATTTGGGAAGGACGGGGTTGGGGGGACACAGGGGAGGCAGCAGGACAGAGGGACAACACGTGACACGGACACACAGGACAAGGGGCAGCTCGGGGAGCTGCTGCCACAGCCCGCCGGGAACAGCCCGGGGCTCCTCCTGGAAATTCCAAAATCCACACACACCGAGGGACCAGAGCCGGGCTGGGCACCTGGCAGGGCTGTCCCCAGGCCAGGGCTGGGCCACCGTCCTCCTGTGGAGCTTCTCCGGCCGGGCTGGGGAGCAGCGGGTCCGCAAAGAGACAGAAAAGGAGCTTACGGTACCTTGGATGAGAGCTGGAGTGAAGGATGGAGCGGAGGCCATGGAAGCATGAGAGATGGGCTGGGAAGGGCCTGGCGGAGGGGCTGGAGTGGAGTGAACGTGTGGGGTGGGGAGCTGGGGAAGATCTGGGGAGGACAACAAAAACACAGGACACCAATCAACGCTGGGAAGGGGCAGCGAGGTGACAGAGCCCGGCGGGGGGGACTCTGGGTCCATCCGTGACCCCACGGGTCCCACTCTGCTTCTGCCACCAGCCTTTGGGACACTGTGACCACGTTCCCCCGTCTCCTGTCCTGCCAGAGCCTGGTTACCCCCTGAGGGACGCTGGGGCTGCACAGCAGGGAGGTGCCACCCACCACGAGGTGCCACCTACGCGGCCTTGGGGACCACAGGGTCCCTGGGTGCTGGGCAGGGGTGGCACCAAGGTGGGCAGGCTGGAGAGCTCAGCTGGGCACGGAGGTGGCTCTCGGGGCCTGAGACACCAGAGGCTTTAGGGATGGAAGTGGGAATTCCACAAGCCTGGATCCGGAACTCGCCTGCTGTGACAGGGGTGGTGACACCAGGTGGGAGAGGGACAGCGGCTGCCACCTCTCGTGGGATGAGCTCCTGGATGGGTGCAGAGAGCTCTGAGCGCTCACAGAGGGGACAGGGGGACACACAAAGGTGACACAGGAGTGACAGGGCTGGGCATTTGGGGGCTCACTCAGGGCAGGCTGAGGGAGGGGACACAGAGGACAAAGTGCCACTGCTGCCATGCGCTGCAGGGACGGACACTGAGTGCCCCAGAGGGAGGGAGAGGAGCTGGGAAAGGGAAGAGCCGGAGCACTGGAACAGGGAAAGTCCAAGCCTGGCAGAGACAGAGGGAGAGAAGTTGGGAGCAGAGCGGGAACAGCCCGAATCCAAGGAAAAATCACAGGGAAATGGGATCACATTGTGTGGGGAAGGGCTGGGAAGGGCACTGGGAGCTGGGATGGCAGCAAGGGGTGGGCAAGGCAGTGCCACACAGCACACACAGCCTGTCCCAGGTGTGACATGGGGACATGGGGACACACACACAGCCTGTCCCAGGTATGACACGGGGACACACACAGCCTGTCCCAGCAGTGACATGGGGACATGGGGACACACACACAGCCTGTCCCAGGTATGACACGGGGACACACACAGCCTGTCCCAGCAGTGACATGGGGACATGGGGACACACACACAGCCTGTCCCAGGTATGACACGGGGACACACACAGCCTGTCCCAGCAGTGACATGGGGACATGGGGACACACACACAGCCTGTCCCAGGTATGACACGGGGACACACACAGCCTGTCCCAGCAGTGACATGGGGACATGGGGACACACACACAGCCTGTCCCAGGTATGACACGGGGACACACACAGCCTGTCCCAGCAGTGACATGGGGACATGGGGACACACACACAGCCTGTCCCAGGTATGACACGGGGACACACACAGCCTGTCCCAGCAGTGACATGGGGACATGGGGACACACACACAGCCTGTCCCAGGTATGACACGGGGACACACACAGCCTGTCCCAGCAGTGACATGGGGACATGGGGACACACACACAGCCTGTCCCAGGTATGACACGGGGACACACACAGCCTGTCCCAGCAGTGACATGGGGACATGGGGACACACACACAGCCTGTCCCAGGTATGACACGGGGACACACACAGCCTGTCCCAGCAGTGACATGGGGACATGGGGACACACACACAGCCTGTCCCAGGTATGACACGGGGACACACACAGCCTGTCCCAGCAGTGACATGGGGACATGGGGACACACACACAGCCTGTCCCAGGTATGACACGGGGACACACACAGCCTGTCCCAGCAGTGACATGGGGACATGGGGACACACACACAGCCTGTCCCAGGTATGACACGGGGACACACACAGCCTGTCCCAGCAGTGACATGGGGACATGGGGACACACACACAGCCTGTCCCAGGTATGACACGGGGACACACACAGCCTGTCCCAGCAGTGACATGGGGACATGGGGACACACACACAGCCTGTCCCAGGTATGACACGGGGACACACACAGCCTGTCCCAGCAGTGACATGGGGACATGGGGACACACACACAGCCTGTCCCAGGTATGACACGGGGACACACACAGCCTGTCCCAGCAGTGACATGGGGACATGGGGACACACACACAGCCTGTCCCAGGTATGACACGGGGACACACACAGCCTGTCCCAGCAGTGACATGGGGACATGGGGACACACACACAGCCTGTCCCAGGTATGACACGGGGACACACACAGCCTGTCCCAGCAGTGACATGGGGACATGGGGACACACACACAGCCTGTCCCAGGTGTGACACGGGGACACAGGGACATGGGGACAAGCAGAGCACAGTCAGGGCAGCCCAGGCCACAGCACCACGTGGGGAGCAGCAGGAGCTGCCCCTCCCCAGCCAAGGACGATCCCAGGGGTGCCACGGTGACACTTTTGGGGCACAGGGGATGCAGTGACCCCCCTGTCCCTTCCCCAGGACACTCCAGCCACGCCACACTCACCACTGACGTCCAGGTTGTACTTGGCCACCACGCTGCCCATGGAGCTGGTGGCCGTGCACACGTAGGTGCCACTGTCACTCTTGTTGAGGAACGGGAAGATGAGGACGCTCTCGGAGCTGAGCTGCAGGGGAGCATCGCTGCCCTCCTTCTCCCAGAGGAATTCCTGTGGGCTGAGGAACGGGGTGGGGATCAGCAGCCTGGAATCCCCCGGGACACACGGGGAGGAAATGTTTTGTTCAGGGATGAGCCAGGGTGGAGCTGCTGCTCCGGGAGAGGACGGGAGGCTGTGCTCACTCTCATGGAATGCCCGGCAGGGACACCCCAAACCCAGCCCAGCTCTGGGGGGGCTCGCTGAGGGGGCCTGGCAGAGGGAGGGGAGGTTGGCCAAGGCCTGAGGAGGAGGAGGGAGGTGAGGAAGGCCTTACATGGGGTTGCCCTGCCCGTCGCACTGCAGCTGCAGCTTCTCCCCCTCCCGCGGGTACTGCGGGTGTGGTTCGATCTTCGCTGTTGGCTTGTCTGGAAAAGGGCAGAGGAACAGCAGGGTGAGTGCCTGGCACCCCAGATCCTGCCCTGGCATTCCAAAACCTGCCTCTGGCACCCCAAATCCTGCCCTTGACATCCCAAAACCCACACCTGGAACACCAAATCCTGCCCTGGCATCCCAAATCCTGCCCTGGCATCCAAAAACCTGCCTCTGGCACCCCAAATCCTGCCCCTGACATCCCAAATCCTGCCCCTGACATCCCAAATCCTGCCCTGGCATCCAAAAACCTGCCTCTGGCACCCCAAATCCTGCCCCTGACATCCCAAAACCCACACCTGGAACACCAAATCCTGCCCTGGCATCCCAAATCCTGCCCCTGGAACCCCAAAAGCTACACCTGGAACCCCAAATCCTGCCCCTAGCATTCCAAATCCTGCCCCACGACCCCAAAACCTGCCCCTGGCACCCCAAATCCCGCCTCTGGGCCAGTTCTGGGTGTGCAGGGCAGAGGGGTGACAGCACCCAGAGGTGGCATCAGCACTGGGGGGTGTTCCCAAGCCGCTCACCCCATCAGCACCACAGGGAACAGGCAGGGAAAGGGCAGTGGGGACAGGATGAGGGACGTGGTGCAGGCAGGGAGCAGGGACGAGTCTCTGGGAGATGGGGACAAGCAGGATGTAGGGACAGCAGTGGGGAGCTGAGGGAAGCGTTGCCATGGCCCAGGTGTGACAGGACCACGATGGCTGCGTGTCCCTGAACACCTCAGCTGTGGGATCTGCTGAACCTCCACCCCCACAAACGTCCCCACCACGTACAGTGGACCTGCAGCTTCTGCGTGGTTGACCTCTCCGAGTTCTGCAGGGACTCGTGGTCCACCGTGCAGGTGACCTCGACCTCGTTGTCCTCCTTGGTGACACGGAACTCCACCCTGCTGGTCACTGTGAAGGTCTTGCCGTTGGGGTCCTCCACCACCTCTGTGCCCGAGTCTGTGGGGACAGGGGACAGCCACAGCTCAGGGACAGACCCCAGCAGAGGCACGAGGCCGATGTCACCCGGAGCAGGGGACACACGGTCCCTGTCCCACAGCACAGGGTACTGTCCTCCTGGTGTCCCCAAGCTGTCCCAGCCCCCAGGACAGGGCCACCCACCCTTGAGCTCCCTGTTGCCCTTCCTCCAGCGCAGCTGTGCCGCGGGTTTGCTGCCGGAGGAGCGGCAGATGAGCCGGGCCACCTTCTCCTCATCGATGGGCTGCTCGTGGCCGAAGATCTGGGGCTTCTGGGGGATCCCTGAGGAGGAGAAGGAGACAAAAAACCCACAAATGCGTGAGCTGGGTGTGCACACCACAGCGTGAGGCGATGGGATCTGGGAGCTGCTGAGGGCATGGGTGGCAGGGGGACTGTCCCTCACCCAGCACGGTGACCAGGGCCTTGGCCGTCCTCACGGGCATGGTGAAGATGGAGCAGGTGTACTCGCCCTCGTCGGCCAGCACCACGTCGCTGATGCTGATGGTCAGCTCGTTGGGGGTGGATCTCTCCAGCTGGATCCTGTTATCCCGCAGGGCTGAGGGAGAAGGGACAACGGGCTCGGTGCCACCACCCCCTGCGCTGGCTGGTGGCAGCGGGAGGGGATGTCCCCCTCGCTGTCCCCTCGTGGCTCCATCCTCGCTCCCAGCTCCAGCTCTGGGGTTTTTACCTCGTTTTTCCCCGAAGTACAGGGTCTGCTGGGCAGGGTTGGACCACTGGAGTGAGGAATCATCGGGATCCTCCACCTGGCACTTGAGCACCACCGTGCCCCCGGCCACCACGGTCTCGTCCGACGTCGTGGGCTGGCTCTCTGCAGGTGGAGAGGGGGAATTAGGGGGGTCCTGGGTGCCACCTCCCCCCAGAGCATCCCCAAAAGCCACCTGAGCACGGCTCTGTGTGTGTCCCTGTCCCCCAGCAAGGACAGGGGATTTTTCCCTGTGATCCCATTCCCCAGCAGGGATGGGGGATTTTTCCCTGTGATCCCATTCCACAGCAGGGATGGGAGATTTTTCCCTGTGATCCCATTCCCCAGCAGGGACAGGGGATTTTTCCCTGTGATCCCATTCCCCAGCAGGGATGGGGGATTTTTCCCTGTGATCCC